GATACAATGAGTACCTGAACATAGCGCAGCCCTCAAACACAGCCCAAGTTATCTTTTTACCTTTGTTCACTCATTGTTTTCCCACGACTGTTTGACTGCCCTTTTCTCTACTTGTCCAGGCTATGAAAAAATACATTAGTTTTGTTATTTGTGCCCTCCCAACCTCCCCCCCCCCACCCCTACCCCTATGTGTGAACACATGCTGAAAAAATGCCTCCTCAGTGCTAGGTATAGCATTAATGTGACTGATTTGTCTGCTGTGTGTTTCTTTTTCCTCATGGATACTCGCCATGCCCCAATCAGAAAATAATACCTCTGTTTTGTAATACACGCCGCTAAATTTGAAACTGTTTAACAAACTCAAACGAACTAACATCTCCAGAAAGGCAGAGAAGAAGAGAGAGAAAAGCAAACCGCAATGCATCTGCAGAATTTGTACAATGCCGGAGAATGTAGACCGCGAGCCTCACTCATTCAGCCATCATTTCCCTTTATATCTTCAGGGTGTCTGTGTTGAGCCTCTTTCTTTCTATCTTTCTTTCTTTCTTTCTTTCTTTCTTTCTTTCTTTCTTTCTTTCTTTCCAAATCTGTTAACACGCGTGCTTGCCGTGTCTCTGTGCGTGTTTGAGAGCCCAATCTTTTCAGTAGATTTTCCCAGAAATCCTGGACAAACACACAGATAGAGAGAGATCACTTTATTTCTCATCACTTAGTTACTGTAACGTGAGTTCTAAAAGCCTAATGCCTGGATTATTTACAGAGGTAAAATGCATATCAAGCTCTCTCTTCCTCATTTTAATTGAATTATTTACATCTTATTCTCTCACTCTCCCTCACATATCTCTGACGGTTACTGGTAATGGACTGCTACATCATAAACAGCCTTTCCAGTAATGTGGAAAATGTGTGCATGTGTGTGTTTCTGAGCATATACTTGCATTGTGTGCACTTATTAAATACACCATGTTATATCAATCTTTAAATAATAAATCAGTAGAGACACATATTATAAGATACCAGCAGTGCAACCTGTCCTCTGTGGCTTTGAGTTGATTCAGAATATACTCATCTCCGTAAACAACCTCATTAAGGTTTCTCGGAAGCAGTTCTTTTAAGTAGCATGTGTGTCAAATTAATAAGTAGACCATTTCCTTGTTTCGCCACTGATATTTGTAGTAAAATTATTTACCGACCTGTTACTGAATAATTTATGAAATAAGGAATAATTGCTCAGAAGTGGTTCATATTCAGTTTTTAAAAAAACATCTGCCCTAATCTATTCTCAATATCACAAAGTCCCCTCTCTCAATCTCTTTACCCTTTTGCTCTCAATCATTTTGTATTACGCACACAAACACACACCCTTCTTCTCTCTTGATTGATCAGATCCTTATCTACCTCCCTGACCTCTAGCTAAAATGAACCATGGCTGCAGTGTCACATCCTTTTTTCTTGAGCACTGAAAGGCACGAGCATACAATTGTTAATGAATACACTTTGTGCTGTAGGATTGCCTTTTATCATATACTTTTATCATCATGTTTTCATGTAAAAATGCCAGAAAACCACATGTGCTTCTGCCCTGTGTTGTTTTTTTCACATTTCAAATGTCAGAAAATCTGGTGGGGAAAGAACTGAGATGTTCTCTTATCATCTTATCTTATCTCGTAAATAAGACTTGTACTTATGTGACTGTACTCATAATTGTGATTTATGGTTACGAGATTTATATCTCAGAAAGAGAAGAAGAGGGGGAAAAAAAAGAATTACAAGGAAACAACCTCATAGTGATCAAACAGTGAAACAATGATTTTGTAAAAAATCTCCAATGTAGGCCTATATCTTTTTTGGGTAAAACCACATATATACCTATTTTGTATACGTGACCAAAAAAACCATATGTAGCACATGAATTGGTGTTTTAAATGTAATATTACATGTGGGAGACGTAGACTCTAACCTGGCAACAAGAATTGATGATCTGAAATAAACCTTCACATGTTGCTGAGGTTGCCAGTACATTAGTTGTACAAAAATGAATTTAAAGTAATGTAGCAAAAGTAGGTCTACTCAATATATATATATGAATGGCTATAATCTGAATCTGCAAAGTAACTAGTAACTAAAGCTGTCCGTCAAATGTAGTGGAGTAAAAAGTACAATATAAGTAGCATAAACTGCAAAAACTCAAGTATTAATCGGCTACCTCAAAGTTATGTTTAAGTACTTGAGTAAATATATTTAATTATATTTCACCATTACACCCAAAACACACAGATAAACACATTTATTTTATTATTTTTAATATTTCTATGTAAAATGAATCAGTTTGAAACCCCTTAAATATGTCAGTGGCTACTTTGACAGGACTATCCCTTTAAAGAAGTCCGCTATATCAACAGAGCATAAGAACAGTCCATTTCACCGAAAAAAGGGGAACTCATTCACCGTTTCGTGAGATTTCACATTTAAAAACACAAAAAATACACCGCGAAGAAAAAACCAACACGTTAAATTTAAACAGCTCTCAAACACACACATCACCTCGCACCGAAAACTACCTTTTGACGGCGCGACGTCTTCGCACAAAAACCCGCTTTCACCCCTAATCGGGGCTTTTCTATTTTTAGCATCAGCTGTTGCAATACAAAGATTAGCTACTCAACGTATTGTTTCGCAGATGTGGGGAGCTCACTCCCGTCTGTGGCGAAAAGGGCGGCGGTGGTTTGAAGCCGAGAAAGAGAGAGAGAGATGGAGGAGGAATCGTCGGTGGAAGACGTGTTTTATTTTTTATTTTGTTGTGTGGTGTGTCTTTGTGTGCCAAGACCAGCGGAGCTCAGTATCGGTAAGTAGCTCTCCAGTTGACCAGGAAAGAGGTCGTGGAATGGGGCGTGTTTTTTTTTTTTTTTTTTTTTTGTATTCACGGACGTGAACGCACCGTACATTGAAAAAAAAAAAAAACCCTCAACTGTAGCCTGTGTTTGCTGTGCTGTCACCAGATTGGTCTCGACTGTAATGACAGCACGGTGAACATCCGAGGGAAGTTAGCTTGTGTTATTTTTATTTTTTTTTTATTATTAATGCTATGAACTGACTGTGTGTCGTTTTGCGGAAATTCCTATTTGCTGCAAACTTCGAGAGAGAGAGAGAGGAGGAGAGAGAGAGATGAGAGAGAGAGAGGAGGAGATTTATAGAGATGAAGCAACCGAAATCCGTTTATATTCAGGGGCGGTATGTCGGTTTCATACGGCGCTACACACACACACCACACACCAACCGACAGACAGAACACACAGCACCACGACACAACCAACGACATCACACAGACAGACACAGAAGACAGCGACAGACGACGGGCCTTGCCTCTGTGTGGGTCAAAATGTATCCTTTAGGACGACACACAAAAACACAGGTGCTTGTCTTTTTGTCTGTCGAGAAGGTATGTTTTTCCTCTTCCTCAGCACCAGTTTTTTAACAGCTGGTACTCAGTAACACACACACACACACACGGTGGACGTCCAGCTCTGATGAAAATGCTGCAGATTTTAACCACACAGAGAACAGAGGGATTCTTCATGTATCAAATCATAGGATGAGATCATTCAGAAGCACCAGTCAGTCTGCAGACACTCACACACTCTCCTTCTCACCCACAACAACACAACAACACACACACACACGTTAATCACTATTAATAGCAAAGTGAAATCACCAGATAATTTGTCTTGTCTGGGGACAGATCCCCCCTTTATCCTTCCCATCATAACTTCATGGAAATGTCAAATCCTCGCTGCTGCTGCTGCTGATCACGTTGCTGGTGAGAGTAAGGGTTAGCTGACTTTTACATGCTGTTTCCCTGAAGCTTAATTGTGACCTTTGGCTATGGGGGGGGGATTACCCTCTGGATGATTGGTAGATGCTGCGTTTCCCATCCGAGGTATGTGATCTATTACATGTGTTAGGAAGCCATTGTTAAGTCATGATTCCTGTGAGATGCTCATTGTCAGTTGCATTTGTTTGGTGGTGGAGGAGGTATTTAGATCATTTACTTGAGTAAAAGTTGCCTTTACCGCACTGTAAAAATACTCTATTACAAGTAGTCCTGCTTTGAAAGTGTCTTAAATAAAAGTATGTAAGTATGATCAGGAAAATGTACTTAAAGTAGTATCGATGCAGAACAATGTCCCCTGTGACTGTTATTATATATTATACTATTAGATTAGTACTACTCATGTATTCATGTAAAAGCAGGATTGTAGTTGAGGTGGAGCTCATTTTGAACTATTTTTGTATTATTTTCATTATGGATTCATTTCTCCATGAATTGACTGATGATTGATTGATTTTCTTTTTGAATTATGTGAGGAAGACGGTGAGAAATGCATCACGAGCCGAGGCGAAAGTGACACAGTGACAATGTCCAAACCTCAAAGTTATTAAAAATAAATGGAAATTATTAAAAGCACTCAAAGGAAAAGCAGCACATCCTCACCTATGAGAAGTCTACACTATGAAATGTTTTTGAATGAAAAAGGACAAACAGTTATAGAAATATTGCCAATTAATGTTCTGTCACTTGATTAATTGACTAATCATTTCTGCTGTACTTGTATACTGTTGGGTAGTTTATAACAAAACATCATTTTGGAGTAAAAAGTGCAATATATTCCTCTGAAATGTAGCGGAAGAGAAGTAGAAACCCGCATGAAAAACTAAATAATAAAGTAAATTACAAGTACCTCAAATTTGTACTTAGGTACAGTACTTGACTCAATGTACAGTGCTTAGTTACGTGCTGCCATGTCTGATGTAAGTGTGGCAAAAAGTTGATCTATAGTGTAGAAAAGTAGTGACCGTAAGGCTACAGGCAGCCCTGACCCCGTCTTCATCTTCTGAGGTGCCCTTGAGCAAATACAAGGCAAATATCCACCTCCCATGTGTGAATGTATTTAACTGTATGAGGGTTAACCAGGGCAGGAACCTGACTGGGATAAATAAGGATAAAAGATACATTATCCCTTATTATTCCCAACCTAATTGCTCTGGATAGTTTCCATAGATATAGCAGTTATACATTCCTCAGCTTTCTTTGCAAAAGAAATTCAGCTAAATTAGTGTCTTTTGCTTTGGTACTCATTCAGACCTTTAGGTTTGAGGCCAGTTTCTGTTCCCACGCTGAAGGCTTTCACATCACTTTTCTTTTTTTCCCCCTGAAGTTTAGACCCAGGTATCCTCCTGAGTGTTTGTTAAAGATCTAACCCTAACCCTTACTGCACTGTCATAGCAAAGAAGAGTTATTCTTTAGATCTTATTTATTTGGATTGTCTAAATGTTCAGTGTTTACCTGGAAAAAAAAAAATTATTATGTTTAATAACTGAAAATACATGTTTGTTAACCTAAACCACTGTAACTGATGAACAATCATTGGTTAATTATGTAAATTACTGTCAATAAGTCTCAGTGTCACTATGATGACATTAGGGCTGGGCAACGTGGTTGAAACAAATATCAGGATGTTTTCATGATAGTTTTTAATATCAATCTAGAATATATATATATAATCATATTACAAATCTGAAATCACATTTAAAAAAATCTTAATTGATGTCCAAAGCAATTAACTGTGTTTAATATATGTGCATTATATAAGACCATACTTTTCATATGAGTAAAACAAAAACTACATTAACTAAGTTTCGTAGTTTTTAATCACAGCTTGCTCAGAATCCTAAAACCTTTCACAACAAAATATTATAGATCTCATCATCATCATTGGCCATCATTGCTGTCTCAGAGAAATACCGTAGAGTACTAGCAGGTTATGTGGTGGTTAAAGATATCTACTTCATAATCAAACGTAAATGAATAACATATTGTACCCCAATGTAAAGTGTTTCTCCCAAATGCAATTGGAAACGAGTTGTTCGTATCATTCATTCATTGTCACTGATGCCTGGTAGTAGTCCACTCATGACATCCTGTGTCCTGAAAGAAATTCCCAAATAGCTGGAAAAAATGTAAAATTATCAGAATGAATGAACGAAAAGGTCAGAGTAGGAAATGCCCCCAGCAAGTCACAGTACATTAGTGAGATATTTGGGTTGTGTGTGTGTGAATGGCAGCCCTTATCCACGAGAACGTCTGAAAATGGCATAGTATTATGAAAAAGACATCAGTGTAATTTATGGCTAAATGGGTTCTCAAACAATGCAGTGAGACCGGAGGCTGTGCCAAGTGAGTCATTAGTGATGACCCACAGTCATGTGATCAGTTATACAGGCCTCGTTTAGGCTGGCTGCACTTGGTCCTCTCAGCCAAATGTATCGCAGCGAAATCCGGGTATAAAGTGTGTCATCGTTGGCGGATATGTGGCGAGGGGGCAGCTGACTTTGCTTCGCTCATTTTATGGAATAAATGAACAGAAATTACTGCATTAAATTACAGCTTTTCTACTTATGTACGTATATCTGTCAACAGCCAACAAATGTACTTGTGTAAATCAGATTAAAGACGTCTACGCATTGTACTGTCGCTTCTTGGGAAGGAAACGACCCTGTACAATAAGACAGTGGGCAGATTGCACCTTGCTGCACTCTGAATTTGTACTTGTGTGTGAAGAAGGACGATGGCGATGTACATCTTAACCCAGGAAGCCAAGATTTGATGCCTTGCTGGCGAGCAGTGTGGGGAGAGCTGTATGATTAATAATGTATTGATATGCCACATGAAGGCTTGATGCTGGTGAAGAAATGTTAGGATCCTCTTGTATTTGGCCCGGCTCTCAGACAAGGATAGCTCTTCAGCGAATTCTTGTTTTCACTTCAGCTGTCTTGGTGACAAGAACCAGCAACCGGCCTCTCCAAGGTTGAAAACCCAGTTCCTACAAAAAGTCGGGGCTTTGATACATATTTGGCTCGCCTGTGACACAGTTCATACAGTTATACCGCCCAATTCTTAAATTGTTTTCAAGGGTAAAATAAAAGATCAGATCAACTCTTAATCCAAGAAGAATGAGGGTGGAGTTTGATTAAACTTTGTCACTTGACAACTGAGAGCTTTTTGGATTCGGTGAACTGTGTCTCAACACCTCCTTTAAATGATCGATGAGTGTTGATATCAACGCTACAGTACTGGCTGGGGTGCGCACCACTCTGTTTCTCCTTATTCTTGTTCTGTGAGATAGGTTGCTGCTTTGTTCCCATGTGAAGAGGGAAGTCCCTTTATCCTTTCCCAAGGCAGCAAACTCGCCACTTCTCAGGAATCCAGAGGGGCTTTATGGAGTCCAAAACACTCCAGCTGCCTCAGTTTTTTTGTATGTAAAACCTGAAACTAAAAAATAAGGGTATTTCCTAATATATGTGTATATATAATGCTTCTCATGCGTCAAAGGTGGTTCGATCCAGCATTTCTGACTGTTAAAGCTTTTCTCTTACATGGAAAGGCCAAAGCAATAGGAAGTTAAGTTATCATCTTTTAAAGAGTTGGAGTGAATGGCTTGACAGTTTGGAGGCAACAAAAGTACTTTGGTTAAAGTTAGGAAAGATTGGTTATAAACACATTGTGTCTCTGCTTCAGGTCACAGTCAGTCTCTCAAACAGAGAGCACTGGCGTAACCAGGTGGTATTTTCTCTAAAACACAAGAGACAAACATTTTATTAATGGTGTTATTTCATAAAAGTACTGAGTAAACCTGTGTAGGAGGGCCATGAGAAGGGAGTTTTCAAATATATCCCATCTGAAGAGGGTTTTTCTAAAAGCTCCATTTTCAGGAGTGGAAAATGCCAGCTTAGTGTGGATGAAAGACCAAAACTGAGAGCAAAGGATTCAGATTCATTGGCATTAGCGTGGATACGGCCTAAGTGTTGTGCACAACACTGCAAGTTCGTCCTTTGCAGGCTTGCTTGGCCCTCTGAAACATCAGGGTTTGTAAAGCCACACAGCCAAACAGAGTACAATTTCCTCTACAAAGCTTCCACTCCCAAAGGAATTTGTTTTAAACTTATGTCTGTGGATTATTTTAGTCTCACAGAATGGGGAGTGTTGTTTCACAGAATTGTGCACTCCACTGAGTAGACTCAGAGGGAAATGCTGACACACCGTACAAGGTTGTGACCTGACTTGGCTTCAGCTAACCAGGCATGACTGGTCTGAAAACCACAACTGGTGGCAGGTACTATGATTTCAAGCTGTTGTTTTTTTGCACAGCACTGAAGAATCTGTCTAGTCTCTAGTCTGGCGGTGTCTTGTGAAATGGTACAGTGGCATAGACGTTTATAGCCTGGGATTTTGTGAGCCAACTGACTGACTGAAGAGGCTTTTTAACATCAGGAATTTGACTTGGAAATTCTTTGCCCAACCTGGCGGGCTGATTGGCTGGTCGGTCTGTGGAAAGGAAGGAAGCATCTTCCTTCCCTCCATTGTGCTGGGCAGGAAAGGATGGACTGTGGCCAGCTGACAGCTGTTTCCTGGTGGATGAAGGAGGAATGGCTGCGTGGGTGGGTGGGTGGTGAGGGTGTTGTGCTAGTAGTGAGTGAATGTGTTTTGTTTTTTTTGTCTGCTTTTGACTGTTGCTACAGTTTAATGAGAACTAGAAATGTGAATGTTTCACAGTAAGACAGTCGATTTTTTTCTTTATTTAAAATTAGTTTAATTTCAGATTTGTTCAAACTTCTTCAACAATTGCAGAGGGGACGGCTTGGCTTCAGTGTTTGTATCAACCGTTTTCATGTTTTAACCCCTCCACTACAAATTGCATATACTTTAACCTACTATAAGGAGTTTTAAGTGCTAGTGAAACAGTCTCAGTTTAATACTGATGCCTCTATATGACCTAAACAAGACCATGAGCAAGAAGATATGGCTGTTTCTATATAGTTATACTCTGAACTGTAATGCCGGGTCAGATTCCCCTCAAAATCTGACGGAACAAGGCGGTGGAAACACTACCACTTTTGTACACAGGTGCCACTAGAATCAACAAAAAAAATTAAAGGTTCTGTCGCTGATTTAACATTAACTCGCAAAATGTTTTTCAACCAAATCCTACATTTATAGATGTCCTACCATTCAGGCAGAAATCATTTGACTTTAAACCTGTGGAAACTTGAGATATGTAATTTATCATAGTGAACATTTCAGTCTTTTCTTTGTGGATATTTAAAGATACCTGGAGTTTTAAATGAAAATGAACCCCCACACACTGGAATGACTTTACTCTGACATCCATGTTTACTAGCCTGCAGGGTTCTTCTTGTTTGCCGTTGTTGCTGCATTACCACCACCAACTGCTGATGAGTAGATTTTACTCTTCTTTTGAATCTTCTGTTGGTTATTAAGGGCTACAAGTCTGTAAGATCACAGTTGTGGTTGTCACAGCTGACTGGTTGCAGTTGACAGTCAAGAGCTAAAATCACACAGTGGATGGTGTTAAATGACTCCAATCATTTATCTACGTTTGATAAGACGTTTCAATAATAAGAAATACCAATTAAAAGATGGCCATAAATGGGGAGCGCATTATAAAATGGTTGTTTCTGTTGTATCAACTTCACACCATATTGTAACATTTCTATCACCTCATGTGGCCTTGCTTCCTCTTCCTCACTCTTCTGTTTCCGATTCCTCGCACCCTCCTCTCCCCTCTCTCTTCTCTTACTTCCCTCCCATGTCTCGTTCTTTCTGAAGCTCTCTCCCCCTTTGTGGCTAGCTAGCGGTGTGAGCTTCTTGGCATAACAGCATGAGATAGCCTGACACATATTTGCCCTTAGTAATTTTAACTTTTTTGTTAATTTTACTCTATTAAAGCTGCAGCAGGTAAACTCACATTTGGTCATTTTTGCTCAAACTTGCACTATATTCTGACGGGAGTACACGAGACCGATAATATGTGAATTAGTCAGGCTCCTCTGACTCTTAGTGGCATTTGTAAGAATCCACCAGGCCTGAACAAAAACAACCAATCGGAGCCAAGAAGGATAGAAAAGCTGGTGGCTTGAAGATAGTCGATTGTTGAGTCTCATTCCCAGCATCGGTATTTGACAACCTTGAAATGAGACTCAACAATCAACAATCTGTTGAGGCTCTGATTGCTTGTTTTGGTTGAGGTGGATTCTTGCAAATGCCAGTAGGAGTACTAGGATGAGGCAGAGGAACCTGACTTTGTTTTTCACAGCTTATCTGTCTCTTGTACTACTTAGTGAAAAAGTGAAAGTTTCATATGACAAAAAGTTATTTTTATAGAAGTTACGTACGGAAGCTTTAATATAGGAAATAGGCTTTAAAGAGTAGAATGTGATATAAAAACAGCACATTTGTTGAGTACTGTACAAGCTGTTCCCCTGAGGTGTAAGTACAGAATGTATCTGAATCATTTGGAAATCTTTTAATAGATTTCTTTTATATCATAAGCCTCTACTGTACGTCACTTGTGTGGAAAAAAGAACTCCTCTGTTAAACCTCTCATATAGCGAGATAGATGTTTATTTTTGTTTTCAAAAAGCCATAATTACAAACTCCAGTTATCCATCTGTGTCGAGGCCATCATATTCCTCTGCTGGTTCTGTGGTTCTCGTGGGCCACTGAGAGTTGACGTCATTAGCCTGGTTCTTGCTACTCAGCCAAACCAGACTCACCAAGGTTTTCTTTGCTTCTCCATACAGTTGTGTATCCGTGATGGGAGAACAGTGGTTTTCAATGCAGCACGACAATAAGGCCTACAGCGCTTCATCCAAGCAGTTTTACTGCTGCTGCTGCTTCTTTCACTATTCTTCCTTATATTTAAAACACACCAGCTTATAACAAATGTGAGAATGCTGTTAGATCGTGGTAGACCAGCTCTCGTTCTATAACGTCAATAGCAGTAAGGCAGTAATCTTAGTGACACATTTTTCCCGTAGCTGCTTCACAGTAAAAGTCTTTTGTGGTTTTTCAGTGGGAAGCTTTAATATGAAGCAGCAGCCGAAGGAACAGTTTGCTTTGCATTAACTGTATCTTAAAGGTGCCTAGTTATGTTTACATCCAGTATTACTCACCAAAAATCATTATACACTGATCTGCCATAACATTATGACCACTGACGGGTGAAGTGAATAACACTTCAGGCAGCAACTGAACTGTTATGAACATGTTAGAAGCAGGACAAATGGGCAGCGACTTTGACAAGGGCCAAACTGTATGGCTTAGTTACGACCTGGGTCAGGAGCATCTTCCAAAAGTGCAGCTCTTGTGGGGAGAATTAGTATGAAACCATTGTCAGGAATGTGTATCACATTAGCCAAGTGCGAGTGCATTCTCATAAACAAAACGGGGATCCCCTCATGGAAAAAACATCCTAGAAAATGGAAGAACCACAAACAAGTGAACAACCTAGAGAAGGAGAAAACAAAACTCTGAGGTCACCGGTGGACCAACCTCAAAACATCCATGGTGTCTGCTGATCCTTGCTGCCTCTGGTCTACAACCGAGGCCAGAAGTGACCAGAGTGTGACCAAGTGTCACGCCCTCCAGAACTGTAGCCAGAAGGAGTGGGTCAACCATACAAAGAGACCAGTAAACCAGACAGTGGAGGGACTCCCTGTCATTGAGGGCTTCTGCCCAGATGTCAAGAGCACCAAGAAGGTGTGCAAGGCTGCGCTAAGAGGCAGCTGCTGGAGACAGGAACCAGTTGTGGACGCAGCCATCGAACATATGATATATATTAACAAAAGTAAATGTTTAATCAGAAAGGCAGGTCCTTTAATACTGTGAATGGGTTTCATCTTGCTACTCACCATGTCACAAAACTCTGCAGGATTCTGTGGTTTCATTTCTACCCATCCTGTGTAAATGCTGAAGTCAATACAGTAGTTCTCATAAGATGCAGTTCCT